TGAAGATTTGGCACTATAGCGGTTTGTTTTTGGAATGGCCACAAAGCTTTCACCCTACTCGAACCCCTTCTGGACTAGGTCCTTTTTTAGCTTTACTTATGCGGTCCTGATTGTATCTTTTTTGTAGATCTACAGTTCCCTTTGTAAGGGGAAATTCTTATAACCCCATTTTGTATACGGTCTGTTGACCTATTCTTTTTATCAGGAGTTCTAAGTGTTAGGCACTCTTGGATTAAACTTCTTCTCTAGTACCTATCTTTTCATATCTATACAATTGTTAACAGTTATTAAAATAATAAGTGAAAGGTCCTCTGAATAGGACATGTCACCCATAGTGGGCCCCACGTGAAGCCCCATTGGGTCCCACATGTGTGGAGCGTGGCCCCTAGCCTTGCACATGGGTCCCACAGACCTCATTGAGGAAAATTATAGAGCTACTCTAGCATGGTTTTTACACATTTAAAATTGGTTTTAAAAAAAAAAACTTCCCAAAAATCACAAAAAAATATTTTTAGTAGAAATCAAGATTTATGGAGTGTCATAAAATCTAAGACACACATAAATACAATTTAGAAGTGGATTGGTATCGAATGGATTAAAAACAAGCCAATATTAGGGCATTTCACTAGTGGCAGGATCCATGATCAACTACTATCTTCTCAAACTAACCCAACGGAACTCATGACCTACAATCAAGTGCAGGGACTCATGATTGGCCGATCAAAGTTAAGAAAGGTATGGCTATGTGGGACTCAAGGTATTAAATTCAAAAAAATGTCTTTTACTTTTCTTTCAAATACCTGAATTCCACTTACATGGGCCACAATATGTTGCTGGAAAATTAAAATATTGCCCTAGATACAACCTAGGATCGTTATTTTTACTGGTAAGAGAAATGAATACTATCCAGGAACTTTAAATTAACTTTTATTATAATTTTTAATATAATATAAGTTCCTATAAATTTACAGAAAACAAAACATAAAACTGAAAATAAATAAAAATCAATGGGAAGACTTTCTGGAAGATGCCTGGAGTTATCCAACCCGGACTTGATACACCCCACACCTGATTCCCTAACCAATGGCCCACTTTTGCTCCTTAAAGTGTTTTTGGAAATTCTAAGATAGGGAAGCTTTATAGGCAATCATTCTTCCTCTAGGGTTTTAGAGAGCTCAAAATAAAATAGGGCTGATCTTGAGAGTTAATCTCTAACTAAGGTAAGCTTCTAAGCTTCTATCTTCTTCCTTCAAAAATACAACAAAACCTTTATTTAAGGTTTCTCCTAAAACAAGCCACCTCTATTTTTCTTTAGAGACAAAAGTATAGAGCAGAGAGCTGTGGCATGCCTCTCTTTTGGTTAAAAGAGAGAGAGAGGTGTGATAAAATAATGAGAGAGAACTTTTTGGCTTGGAGAGGATAGAGAAATATTTGGGACATGAGAAAGAGAAGAGAGAATCTCCCAATTTGGTGTGTGAGGGAGAGAGGATATTTGGGAGGGAGAGAAAAGATCTTCTGATTGATCTCAAATAGGTTTATCTTGGTCTTTAAATAAAAGAAAATCTAGAAAAAAACCTATATCCTAGTTTGAATGGGATTTGACTTATCTAATTTCCAGCTAAATCTTTTAAGATAAAAAAGATATCTATGGGGTGAGAGATTAATAAAAGCCATCCATCCCAAAAATCAGCCATCATGATTTTGGGTGGAAAGATTAGGAATCTTATCCCTTTACACCTTTACCCAATCCATTCCTATTTAAAATATAAATCCAATCAAATTTAAATTTTATCTAAATCTATCATTTATGTTTAAAATCAAACGTAAATATTATTTAGACAAATATTATCCAGATCTTCCATAAAGATATAGGAAACCATATCTCATTAGATTTCTCATTTTTTAACTTAGTGTAAATTTTAAACCAAATCAAAATATTTAAGAAAGTGAAGCATGCCCCCTTTCTCCTAAAATAATGGCGTGTAACATATTTGTTTTCAAAAAACCTTTTCGTATGAACATGGCGTGGAGCTATATTTAGCTTTTAAAAGGATATTTTGTCGTGGCCCTATTTTACCAAAAAAAATGTCGTGCTCCTTTTGCCACAAAAAGTAGCATGCCACTTTTGCTTTACAAAAAAATAGGACGTAGTCACTAGGGTGCACGTGGTCCCACATGTGGGGGCTGGATCCTTAGTCCCCCATGTGTGATTTAAAGTTTTAAAATTTTCAGAAATACCCTTTTATGAAAATTTAGGGAAAAAAAATATTTTAAAATTAAAAAAATATTTAAAATCAAAAAAACATTTATAATACAAAAAAAAATATATAATAAGAATGGACTGGTACCAATGGGTCAAAATAAGCGACACTAAGTGCATTGCCCTCTCTCAAGAAACCATGATCCACAACTGTTCTCTTATCCAACCCAACAAAGTCCCATGACCCACAGTCTCTTTGCAAGGGTTCATGATTGACTTGTCAAAGTTGGATAATAAAACAGCGAAATCATGATCCTGGAATGTGGATTTTAGTTCCCCCCTTTAAGTGCAAGTGGAACACTTGTCACTACAATGCAAAGGGGGTTCTCTCAATGCATATGTACACAAGCTCCTCTAAAAAGGCTGCTTCCCATGCGGTTGTCATGTGTACATGCCGTGCGGAAGTTTGTTGAGGATTTGACTATTGCTCTCACAGACATGCAACCGCACACAAGAGACTACACAGTTCTTCTAACCTACAAATATGATCCTTAGGCATCTCTCTGACCTCAACAAGGGATGACCCACTTCAAACCTTTATCAGTTATGCCACATGCCCAAGGCCAAGGGTTTTGGACATGATCAGGGCCATAAACCGCCCAACCCTTGATTAGTTAACACACATACACTCCCACTGAAGTGCATATTCCTCTATATAGGGTTGCTTCCCAAAATGTGATTGTCATATGCCATGCCGTGCTGAAGTTTTTGTTGAGGATTTGGCCCTTGTTCTCATAGATCCTTCCTTTGTACACAGGAGACCATACAACTCTCCTAGCCTACAACAATGTCCTTGGGCATATCTTCGATCTCAACAAGGGACGACCTACAATAAACCCTCAGATGTAGCGCCACATGGCAAGGGTTTAGGGTTATAGACGACCGGGGTTATAGACCGCCCAAACCTAGGTCAATCAACCGCGGTGCACTACAGGCCAAGGGGTAAGGGTTTTGAACGACCAGAGCTATAAACCGCCCAACCCTAGGTCAGTCAACCACAAGAAACTTCTATTGTAGTGCACAAAATACTAGACAAACTCTCCACACCTTTAAAGGCCACAAGCCATGACAATCTTAACTGAGTTACTATGGTAACTCGGCAAGCCAAGCTACATTATCCTCCTTGAGATGACGGGTTTCTAGGCTCGGCAAGGTGTCAAGCCCTTGCCAAGCCCAATCGACTCAGGGTAGTTTGAGTTGGATGACCGAGTTCTTCAATACTGAAGATAACACATTAGTTGTTTCAAACTACTTTGCGTAATTTTTGCTTTGATAAAGGTACAGAGAGAATTTGGAAAGAGCAAGAAACTTTGAATGATCAGCAGGAACGGTGAAATTCAAATTTTAGTAATTGAAGATAACACATTAGTTGTTTCAAACAGCATAGAGTAAATTTTGCTTCTGTTAAGGGACAAGGAGAACATTGAAAGGAGCAAGAAACTTTGAATGACTGGCAGGAACATTCATCATCATCATCCGAGCCTTATCCCAACTATTTGAGGTCGGCTACCTAGTAGGAACATTGAAATTGCAATTTTTATAAAATGGGAACTGAATTTCTCGAGTCAGTAACTGAATATTCAGCACCGAATATTCCTATTGGTATGATTGAGGAAAGGTAACAAATAGGGGGGCTAGGTTCAGTCTCTGTTGAATAACGATTGGATGCCTGATCTTTAGATGATTTACTTCCATGGGCACGGACATTGATTTGCTACACCTACCTTCAAGTCCAGTAGTTATAGAAGATGGCTCCTATGGTCTTGGTGCAATTGTTATCATGAGCTGCATAACGTATTCCATGTGCAACAAAGGCTGAATTTCTCAATTAGCTAGTCTTTTTGGAAGGATTTTTCTCTTCCTGGACAAGGGATGGATCTTTAAATCCTGTAAAATATCTGTATTTTCTGTACAATCATAGTAATCAAGGATCCAGAGCATGCTTCTAACTTATTCACATGTGCCACTTTGTGATCTAGGCCCACACTTGTGATACACTATCTGCAACACCTATGCACAGTTTTCCGTTACACCACAAGTGAAATTGCATCAACTGCCTTTGAACGCTAGTAAAAGCAGTTCAGGTTTCTTGCACACAGATAGATGCAAGCCGAGAACCATTGCTCTGACACTGAAGATGAAATTGAATTTGAGACAGCAAAAGCACGAATTTAGTTTATGTAGGATTTTGTACGTACAAGAGTAAGGTAAAATGACTCAAGTAACTTGAGAAATAATTGGAGTATGAGTAATTCATTTGATGCCAGAAATTGATCCTAAAAATATAAAGAACACAGAATTTGCAAAATGCAGATGTATGAATTTTGACAATATGACAGCTATCTCATAATATTTATTAGGTCATGAGTTTTCCAAGTTCACACCACTTTGCTTGAATTTGTGACATTTAATTAAAGAAGTGGAAATGGCTACTTGTTTATTCCAGGTCTTTCAAGGAAATGGGTACTTGTTTCTCCTTCCTTATTTTTACTTTGAGATATGTACTGTAAAATATTGCAATGTAAGAGTCACTAGTGACTATTTGTCAAATCATGTTCCCATATGAAGGTATGTTGTAGAATTACTTTACCTCCAAATTAGCAAAGTATTATCGTTATTTGGTAAGATTGAAACTTATTGCTAGTACTCAAGTTTTAGAGTTCTTTTATTCTTACAACCATTATCTTAATCCTTGGGTTACTGTTTGGCATGTTAAATGACTGACAGCTTGTGCATCCAGATGATCAAGTTAATTACATTTACCATTGGAGGGCGCGGTTACGTTAACTTCATGGGCAATGAATTTGGGCACCCTAATGTATGTAGCACTAAATCTGCAATTTATTATTGAATCTGTTTGCCCATTTGTTATAGTTATTGTTTACGTTTTCTTATTGATTGCCCTACTTTCAACAGAGGGTTGAGTTCCCTTTGCCAAGCAACAACTTTTCCTTTGCATCAGCAAACCGTCAGTGGGATTTGTTAACTGTCAATGGAATACATAATGAACTTTTCTCGTTTAATAAGGTACGATCCCTTTCACCTATGCAGTTTTTATATTGCCAGATCCAAGTGTTAAAGAACTCAAAACCCATTTTTTTTCTCTTTCTTTTTTTGGTAAATAATCATCTGGATATACTCAAGTGGATCCTACACTTTCAGAACCAAAAAGTCCTCCTAAATAGCTTTTTCACCAAAGGGATTAAGTGGACAGCTTGCTCCCATGCATATATATATATATATATATATATTCAGAAACTTAGAGGCGCCCACCTAGGAATTTTGTTAAAGAGAGGTCTCACAACGACCACTTGGAGGACATATTCTTCTTTTTGTTCTTATTATATGGAGAGAGAGAGAGAGAGAGAGAGAGAGAGAGAGAATATGAGTTTGTGAGGCGTGGGGCGCCTCACATCAAACACTTGGAGGTCACCTACTTCTTTGTCTACATCTTATGTGTAGAGCGAGAGCATATGGGTCCATGTGGGTGTCGGTGTGTATGTGTATGTGTGTGACTGTATGAGAGAGTCCACACATCAAACAATTGATAGTCATCTACTTTTTCCTCTTCTTCAGCTCTTCTTATATGTAGAGAGAGAGAGAACATTGGCTTGTGAGCGAGAGAGAAGGGCTTTGAGCTCTTAGCCATTGTAACATGCCTTAACTATTTTTTTATTGTTTTAAGGGTGTTTATGCTTTTTTTTTTGGTGGAACTAGGTGCATAGGGGCTTGGGGGGCTAGATTTGCCACCCAAAACCCTTCACCCCCCCACCTTTTAGTGGGGAAAATTAATTTTTTGGCCCTTGGCCAAGGACTTTTTTCCGCCCTTGCCCAAGTTGCTCCAAGACACCACCTAGGCAGGTGCCAAGGAACAAGCCCGCTTGGGCATTTTGGCCTCCAGGCCACCTAAGCTGAATTTTCAATATCCTGTCAGCCCAATGGTGTTCGAATTTTAATTATTTTTCTACAATCAAATCGATCTGAAATTTGGAGCGTGTGTACATAAAAAATAGGTTAATCTTCGAAAAATAAAAGAAAAAATATTTTACGTGAAAAAATTTGACCAAAATACCCTTGTAAAGTTTCGGAAGTATTTTGGTCATTGTTTTTTTTTGCAGATTATTTATTTCTTTATTTTATTAAGTGAGCCTTGATGAGAAGAATATACACCTAAAAGTTCAAGTGATTTGGATTTATAGAAAAAAAAATTAAAATTCAAACACGAAAAGAGGTCGTGATCGCCAGATCGGCCCAGATTCATTCTGGGCCATTGGCGTTTACTGTAGCAGTTAGCTAGTGGGCGTGCAGAATCCACTCCCATATATATATATATATATATATATATATATATATATATATATATAGTTCGTTACTACTAGTAGGTGGTAGTCGACGTCGACACTACTACGTCGTCGTCTCTTCT